TTGCTGTTATAGTCATACTGTATGTTCAAGTGTTTGTTATTGCAAAGAAACATGCCACTGCTATCAGAGACCTTAATATTCAGACGAGTACTCAGACATCAAAGAAGGATATTTCAATGAAATCAGAGAGGAAAGCAGCTAAAGTACTTGGAATCGTTGTGTTTGTGTTTTTGGCTTGTTACTTTCCATACTTTATTTACAGTTTATTAGGTAGGGTAATTGAAGTTGAAGTAGCATCATTTCAAAAAGTTCTGATCCTTGTTTATTTAAACTCCACTATTAATCCAGTTATATATGCTTTGTTTTATCCATGGTTTAGGAAGTGTGTTAGACTAGTTTTAACACTTCAAATATTAAAAAAAGATTCTGCACTGATAAATGTTCTTTCTTAAGCCCACTTAACCAATAAGCTCACTTGCAGTTCTAATGTAAAACACTTTTTTGTTATGTGCTGTCTGCATTTCTGTACTTCCATATTTTGTTTATACTTTATTAGTCAAGTTTATTATACTGGGAGTAGGATCCTTCATGAATGAAACAGGTCTCACCAGCACATCAATTCATTTGAGCTGATTTCAGCTGATCTTCAAAAATGTAGTGGAATCAAGTCAAACTGATTAAATTGTATGTGGCATGTAGACAACTGAATGGGAATTTGAGGATTTGGCATTCCATAATTTCACACTTCCACAATAGTCATTGCATAAATACCTGTCATGGAGGTCTTTAAGGATCTAATGGAGTTATCATGGCCAGGTGTGGTTCTCTCAGTGTAGGCTGGTCCTTCCTGCATACATTCACTTGTACCTATTGTTTCTGATGAGTCTCTCAGAGACTTCAGTTACACTGTGAATATTTAATACTGTCATTACATTCTATCAGTAACAAAACTGGAGCATAAAACAGAATTATAAAATGACTGTTACCAGCTCTGCCTCAGGGACTGTGATTTGGAACTTTGTCTTTGTTCTACATACACCTGGCCCTAACAGCACTTTACAGGCTCTGAACATTTGTTCTCAAATTCACCCACCAAAACAATATTATAAAATACCACCTGTTCAATGGAAAAGAACACATTTTAGTTAAATTTCTGTGGACTGAAACACTATTTTAGACTACAGTTGCTGTAGCTTAAAATAAGACGACGCTTCCAGCTATTACACAGAAAAAAAACACCAATGTAATGGATGAATGCTTGAGTATTCAAATTATTTGGGCCAGCCCTTGTCATACATACAGTTTACAGTAACAGCAACATACAGTATATGATCTATCCTATCCAAGATTTGATTTAAAGGATTATTTTGATCTCCTGTAATATTTAATGCTTGTGAACATACCCTAAAACTCCACAATCATCTCCTTTGTTTTATTTACATTCAAAACAAGATTGTTGAGATTACGTACACCATTCAGCTTAATCCTCTATCCCCATTCGTACCTATTATCATACTAAAAGATTAAACCAGTTCATGAGGTGTCAAAGACATTATGGCGTCAGCCTAGTTTGAGACACAGAGGAAGCTGTGATTTCCACAACGAGAAGTGCTCTACATTAAACACCAGGGCAGAAAGGTCATGCAGAAGCCCAAACACACAGGGGAGGTCACCATTAGCCAAAGGTTTCACCCTCACAGTTGACCAATCCACCAATACAAAACACACAAAGTAAACCTGCACCCCAGCACAAATTAATACAAATAACACATATACACAACTTAATACGCTACAACATAAATGGTGAGTGACACTGGGAGCCATCCTCCACACAGCAGCAAGTGATTACTTATAAAGCAGTACAGGTACTCAGGTAGATCCACCACCTGAATATGATGACTTAGCAATACTGACCACAGCCCTACAGTGACACTTTGGCGAGTCTGCCAGGTGGCTGCTGCTAGAGAGGCAGAGGCTAAAGGGAGAGTGGATCAGCGTGTTGGCGGCAGAGCTCAGCACAGTGGTTCAACAGGCATACTCGGCTTCCAAGAAGGCTGGGTGGCGCTGGAACTCTTCCTGAACGCGCAGCTGTCGAAAGCAGAGCTGGGCGATAGAGCCAAAAATGTTATCACGATAAACCAAATTCATATCAGTCGACAGCGATACATATCGCAATAAATGTCGAATCATTGTTTCTTTCAACTTTGAAGGCTGATTTTTGCTCCTAAGTGGTTAATTGCTGTTTTAAACTATCCTTTATGGTCAGAACATACAAACACTCACCAAACAGTGGAACAATTCACAAATCTGTAATGGGACGGTGGGAGAAAGTTTCTGGTTAGCTCTTTTTACCAGCTGGAGAAGCACGGCCACAGTTTTTGTGCAGCTAGCCTGGAAAGATAGCGTTTTCCCGCTCTCCAATGGCACACATACAACTTCGCATCCTCAGTTTACTTTCGTTTAAATCAGGGCTGTAATTTGCATGAACCCACCTTATTCTTTCACTTTCGTTGCTTGGAACTGCACTGATACTAAAATATGACTATTTGAGCGCTGTAACATTGCAGTAGTTGTGTGGAGCAGATGTGATTTAAGCTGGGGCCATATTCAACCTTAGGAAGGAAACACTGGGACTAGTAAAGCTACTTGCGGCGGCTAGCAGGGGATTCCCGAGTTCCGTGGGCAGCACACATGAGCGGCACCCCTGTCAATATGGACGATGCAGTGGATGGTAGAGAAAGCAGAAGATAGCTAATAGGAGTGACACTGCAGCTGTCGTCACGGCCAGTAGCACTGGACCTGACACTGTGGGCCATGAGGAGTTCAGCTGCGTTCAGGAGGAGCCTTGCCACTGTGTCAAAGTCATGTGCCGGCCCAGAAGGACACGGCCCCAAGAGAGGACTGTGGGAACCCCAAGGCACTTGTGCCATCTGGGTTGGTGGATAGGTCAGGTCTCCGTCTGCAGAGAGGCCACGGCATGAGCAATGGCACACCTGCGCATCTCAAAGACTTTGTTCAGGCTGTGTGGCCCTGTAAAGTGGCGCTCAGGGCACACCACAAAAAAAACAGACAGTTGTTGTTTTGTTGATACTTCTAATGTGGTTGCGAGCAAAGCAACAGACTTTAGAAACATCTCTGGAATGACCTTATTCCCAATATTTTGTAAAGAACATAAAATTATTTACTCTTACTCAATGAGGTCCGTCAAACAAAAGTGCTACAGTCCACACAAATACAATCTCTCTGTCAATCAAGTTAGGAGATATGATTGTAATAAAAGCAGAACTAAATTCAATAAAAAAGCCTCCAAGTATGTTTTGTATGCTAACACCAAAACAAAAAAAAAGATTAATGATCAGATTTGCCAAAAGTTGCAGAGGGAAACGTTCAATATGCATTTTTAATAATGATCCAGCGCTATCTGAGTATATTCTGACCTCTTGTTCTGCCAGTAACAGCATCAGGATGCCCTTTTCATGCCTGCTGATGTCAGGCCATTTAGCACACCAGCACTATTAGCCTGAAATGAAATGTAGACTTCAATCAGGATTACACTTGAAAATTCTCTTGGTACAAAATAGGGCTGACACTTGATCAACAGACATTCCAGGTATCGCAGATTTGTTTTTGACAAAACTTCCACTTGACCTGTTGTCATTATCTAGGAAGCAGACACCTCCACCTCTGGTCTTCCTTGTGGACACAGGATCACTTTTCAGTCTGACTACAGAGAAGCTGTTCAGCTACACAGCCAAGTTGGGAACAATCATCGAGCACGTTATATAGAGAATACACATGTGCTAAAATTATACTAGGCAGAGGAGGCCAGTCAAAGAGTCTACACACTAGGCCTCCGTGCTTACCATGGTGCGTTTTGCAGCGGCGCTGCACATGAGATAATCTGCTACCTGCTTATCTCAAATGGTGAATAAATGATGCTGAGCATAAACAATTTCGGTCGACATGTAACAGATTGACTAAAAATTACCGGTACAATCCAAGTGCAGGTTAAACAGCCAACTAGAAGCTGATGTGTTCAAAAAACAGGTGAGCACAGGTAAAGTCCATGCAAAGAAATCCAAAGCAGGAATCCAAAAACACAGGTCCGAAACCCATTCCAAGGTTGAATATCAAGGGAAATGGCATTAAAAGAAGCAAGACAAAACACCAAGAAGGCGAGGAAATGCAGATAGAGTAAACACAGAACTTCACAAAGAAAGACTGACCCGTAAGACTATGTAAAACCCACTGATTAACAAAAACTGGATGCAGGTGAGCAGCAAAAAGCACAGTACTGGGGGAGAGCAATGCCTGGAGGCATGGAGAGGAATCTCCAGGCATTTATGTGACACGCATTTTGTGTGGGAAAGGTTAAAAGTCGAAAAAAACAAAAACAAAAACAACAAACGTCAATGAAAGTTCAGCAGGTGTTGAACATTTAAAGGTTTTCAGTGGTCTAAAGAAAGCATTGCATTCAACATTCTTAATGATTTAACTAGCTGCTAGCAAGGTGATGCTGTGGTGCTGCTATGATATCAGAATGTAAGAAAAACTGAGACTAGAGCTGACCAAACATGATTTAACAAGTTTTAAATTCAGAGAACCTTCAGATCACTTTTTGCTAATGCCCATCTAGCAGCTGCAATGCCTGCAAAAACGTTAAAAAAATGCTTGATACCACAACGGATCATCATAATGTTTGTGACATTGCAAACATTACACAAATATATCCAGCAGGGTAACTGCAGGAAATCCAACTGTCATAAATATAATTGTTTCATTAGAAAATGGTCCAGCGTCACAAACTCTTGCATTAGAGAATACTGGGAAAAAATGCTCTTTTCCATGCTCCACCCATTGCTGCATATGCATTATGCTGTAAGTCAAACACACTGACATGGACGGGTTCTCAACCATATAAATATCAGCGCTGCTGGCTGTTCCTCCTGCATTTTTTTTTTTTTGCTTATGGAGATTGATAATTACTGCCTCAACAGGAGAATCTATCAAGTATAATCTATTTCAGTTCTTTCTTTGAGTGCACTTTAACTGCTAAATCCATGAATCATACAGAGGTTAATCAAACAGATCACTGCCTGCAGTTCTATTGTCCTGAGAGATCTGTATCTACTGCGTATGTGTTGTTGTATGTATCTGCAGCCGCTGTAGCTCTACTAACAGTGTGTGGAAACCTGCTTGTTATCATCTCTGTTTGTCACTTCAAGCAGCTCCACACACCGACTAACATGCTTGTTCTCTTTTTGGCTGTGTCAGATTTTCTAGTTGGAGCTCTCGTGATCCCTATAGCATTAATATGGATGATCGAATCATGCTGGATTTTTAATCGGGGTTTCTGTATAAATTTTATGTTAACCTCTTATTTTCTTACAAGCACATCTATATATAATGTTGCTCTAATCGCTGTTGATCGGTATTTTGCTCTCTCTAACCCATTTCTCTACACTAAAGCAGTCTCTGTGAACACCATCTGCATTGTGGTTTTATGTGACTGGTGTATATTGTTCTCTTATGATTTAGCCGTTCACTATTTCAACAGAAACTTTGAAAGTTTAGTAATGTGTCCTGGAGACTGCTTTTTGGCCTTGGATGAGGTCTGGTCTTTGGTTGATCTTCTGTTTATTTTTGTTTTTCCATGTGCTGTTATAATCATACTGTATATTCTAGTTTTTATTATTGCCAAAAAACATGCCACTGCTATCAGAGAGCTTAATGCTAGGACTCAGACATCAAAGAAGATGACCGACTCTATGAAATCTGAGAGAAAAGCAGCTAAAGTACTTGGAATAGTCGTGTCTGTGTTTTTGGCTTGTTTATTTCCATATTTTATTTACAGTTTATTAGGCAAGGTAATTGAAGTTGAAGTACAAGCATTTCAAAAAGTGCTGATCCTTGTTTATTTAAACTCTACTATTAATCCAGTTATTTATGCTTTGTTTTATCCGTGGTTTAGGAAGTGTGTTAAACTCGTTTTAACACTTCAAATTTGTAAAAAAGATTCTGCGTTAATGAATGTTCTATAATGAAAAAAACTATTATCACATAAATCTATCTCTCAGCTAGGAATTTGTTCAGAAAGTTACATGCAGAGTAATTACATGTACATAATCTTTTCTCATGCCTTGAGATGTTCAGCCAAAGGCTTTATTTTTAAAAAACGTTTTGTAAATGTGTGTATATATATATATATATACACACAAACACAATTCAGAATCCAACTTTATTAAACTCTAAAGATGATGCATGCCACCAGCTGGTTTATCGCTGATATACACTTCTTTTACTTTTGTGTTACGTCTTTAAAAGTGTCTACTTATTTTGACACAATTTGTGTCTATATATTTTGTGGGAGGATTTTGGCATTGTATACTTTCAAATTCCCAAAGTAAAAAAGCACAAAAGACATTACATAAACACCTGAAGTAGTGGTCTTCACAATTTGTCAATTTACTGGAGTACACTGGAAAATTATGTAATATGAGTATTTGTAAAAATTAGTTCAGCTGGGTTCTGGTTTAAAAAAAAAAGGCTAACCTGTTCATTACAAGTTCAAATATACACACCACCTAGTGCTACATCAGTGTTTCCCATTAATTACCTTGATTGTGGTGGCCCTCCATCGTCTAATTTGTCCCGTCACAGTTTCATTATGAACCAAAAATATCTTTACACATCTCATTATAACATGCACAACGTTGTGTTTTGCCCCGTTGCTTTGGCAAAGCATCTCTCACTACCAGTCAGCCCCACTTCTCTCCCGGCTGTACATGTGCATACACACACACACACACACACACACACACACACACACACACACACACACACACACACACACAGGACTGTCTTGTCACCGGGCTGCATCCAAAACACATGCATTTTGAGTACACAACACTTTGATTTAAGGTAAGTATCGTTAACGTTACAGTGTCCACTGCAGTCTTCCACTTGTCCAATCACAATCTTATCATTATCAATGTAAGACTGCAAGTAAATAATGTCAGTGCAGAAGTTATCACGTTGATATCACGTTAACATTAATCCAATTTTAACTTAGCTAAGGAAAATTAACATCAGTGTGTCCAAATCTTGTCTCCTTGCTTTAAAACAGTGCACTGAATTTGAATTTGAGGACTTTTAGCTTGTTTCTGAGACAAAAAGGTGACATCAATACTGCTAATACATCTGGTGGCGTATTTTTTGACCCTTCAAAAAACAACTGCACGCTCTAGCGGAGCTACTGTAATATATCAGCGAGTTCTGAGATGTGGCCAGCATAGAGGCAAATTTATATAACTATGTCACACACAAAACTGTTTTTGGCCTCTCAGGAGCAAGTTGGCTCTTCATGTAACATTAGGATATTTGTAATTTTAACTGTGACCTTATTGCTGTGTCTTCATTCATACCTATACTGCCAATATGCTTATGACTAAATTACTAAAGCACAAAATAGTTTAGATCAGGGGTTTTCAACCTTTTCCACTCCAAGGCCCACCTGTTTATAACTATAAAGCATAGCGGCCCACAGAACAACTAAAAATCAAATTTTTTTTATTGTTCCAAAGGAGTAACTGTTTGGTCTCTAGATGTCTCTAGTTTTGAAGGTTTTAGTGCCTCATTTGAAATAAACCTCACACCACTCAGTGGGCTTTTGGATTAGCATCGTCACAGTCAACAATAATGATAAACCATACTTGACATCTGCTTCTTTGTCAAAGGTTTATCAGTTTGAGTTTAATTACTCAGGTCGCTGATGCTCGGCCAAAAATCAACAGCAGATATTATTTATAGACACGTCTGTCGTTTTTATCAGCTGCAGCTCGAGCTGCAGGAATGATATAAGTGCAATGAGAGTCTGTAAAGAGTCAGACGTTAAAACAGGCAGATTATACTGACAGTATACAGCGCTGCTGTGCTGCTGGAAGAAGAGGAAAGCCAGGTCTATTGACGAATTCCCTCATTTCATCATAAAATGCGTTCACACCAGCAGTGAACTGAACAGGGTTCGGTTGGAAGTGGACCGAGACCTGCAGGTTTTGCTGGACCTGTTCAGCTGTTTGATGCAGACCCAAATACAGGTGGACTGTTCACATACGTCAAAACAGAGAAAACTAAAGAAAAAAGTTTGATCCGCACAGAACAAGGTAGCACCCCGAGGAACCTCTCCATCTCTGACTAGCTGTCTGCACTGTTCCCCATGGCTGCGTCGTCACAAACTGATGACGTTTAATTAGCCTGCGACCGCTATGTTTTTATTTACACGTCTCTACCGGCCCACTACGAACTATTGCCTCCCCCTGAGTACAGGCCCGCGGACCACCAGAGGGCGCTTCACGGCCCACTAGTGGTCTGCAGCCCACAGGTTGAGAAACCCTGGTTTAAAGCACAGCATTCTTCATAGATGTAACCTCTTAATTTTGCTCTTTTAGTGCACCAGATTGATGCATTTAACTACCAAATATACAAAATTTTCCTAGACCCACCCCAGAGGGTTCAAGTGAGGTCCAAAATCCTGTGGCACTGGCTACATCATGAAAAGAACCCAAAATAAACAGATCTGCCTACTATAACACCACAAAAAGATCAACCAAAGCTACTAGTAACAGTATGTAGTGTTAATCTCTGAGCTGACAGTGAATCAGTCAATTTGATTTATGATATGATTCAATTCAGAAACAATTAATGTAATTTACTAATAGCACTAGTGATTTGATTAGGTGATTAGATTCAGTGATTCAAGTCGGTGGTTCTGAACATGAGGTGAACACCGATACTCTGGCTACTATTTAAAGAGAATAATTTTTCATAAAATCTTGCCAATCTCACGGTAATTAATTTCCTCTCCACTGTTGCTTTGTGTACGGGCAGAGGACACTTCAGCTAGGTCACAGTGGCAGTATTTTGCGAGCTCAAGTATACTGATAATTTTCCAAATAAAGACGTTTGCTTGAGCTCACTCGACCACTGCTTCCATTACTTCTTCGCCGTAATCTCTATAATATCTTGTTTTCTAAATGAAAATAGGAATGATTGGTGTTAAAGCATGAGGACACCAACTTAAAACAAAAAGTCTCAAACTTTTTTAGCAACCAAACTTTACTACCTTCTATGTATATTGGTACTATGTGATTTCTAAGTAACCACTCGTGCTGTAATGTGCTGAAGTCTGAGGAAAATATTGCACATGCGTGCTGTGCAAAAGTCAGAGGTCACACTTGATTCGTTTAATTTCACATGAAAATGACCTGAATTCACGTGAAAATGACTGAAAGTTGATCATTGTCTGAGAAGATTAGATACAACCTAATGTGTTTGCAAAGAAGGAAGAAAGTCAAAGAAAAAAGTGAAAAAAACTATAAAAAAGACACAAAGAATGGACTCCTAACAACCACTTGGAAGACCTGGTCGACCCCAAAACTGCTCCCATCAGATAAACAGCACTTAAAGCTTTCATCTCTGAGAGAGAGGAGAAAATCAAGCTGCTTCAGATCTGAAAACATCCACAGGTGTTTCTGTCCATCCTTCCACTGTGAGAAGACGACTCAGCGCTGTGGGTCTGAAAGGATGTGTAGCTGTCAAGAAGAACCTCACTGACAAAAGGAGACGGACACATCAAACAAAGAAGCTGAACGATGGACTGACCACCCCAGAGTCCAGACCTCAACACCACTGAATGAGTTTGATTACTTCAGAAAATCATCAACCAGCTTCTAAGACTGAACTTTGGAGGTGTGTCTGCAGATTCTTTGAGGAACTGAAAGTGAGTCTCCTGAAAAGAATGATCTCTGACTTCTGCACAGTACTATATTTGTTCAAATATCACATATATTTGTTTAAACAAGTTTGTTTTGTTAATAATTTGTTATTCATGGCAATTATTATCATTTTGATTTATGGAATTAAATCTATTTTTGATTGATGTAAATAATTCAATAATTTTCTTAATTTCACAACTGATCCAGATGCCTTGGGAGAAATTCTAAATGACGCACAGAGAAAATGAATAAATCATTCCACTACTAGGTAACAAAGGCCAAAACATGCAAACTGTACTCAAGGGTTTAAATATCCAAACATCCATGATGGGGATCGCCCTGCCATTCCGGATGCTTATAGGCTCTGCGCACAAAAGCATCAATGGGCAGAGGAGGCAATAGAGGAGAACAATAATACAAATTGTAATAAAAACGTATACAACATCTTCTCACAACAGATATATACCACTATTCTTTCTGTATTTCTGGTCTGGAGAAATGTCTTAAGGACTATCCTGTAATCTAGCCTGTTCCCTGTAAAATGTAAAAACAATGATGAACATAGGTGAATTTGAGCGCTGTATGAGCTTACTCACACGTCATGACATCATATGGATGAAACTATTATTCAAATGAGTGGGAGTGAGCAGCTTTTAAACCATATTAATATCCGAGCTCCTGGCCAAGATCTTGGGCATTGTTAACTGAGCACTGACTCTGCAGCCTCTCAGATCGGAATTATTTCTTTGATATGCTGGATCCATGAATTTTATGGAAGATAACCAAACTGATCAATGCCTCAGGTTTTCCTGTCCAGAGAGATCTGTATCTACAGTGTATGTGTTTCTCTATGTGTCTGCAGCTGCTGTAGCTCTACTAACAGTGTGTGGAAATCTGCTGATCATCATCTCTGTTTGTCACTTCAAGCAGCTCCACACACCAACTAACATGCTCATCCTCTCTCTGGCTGTGTCAGACTTTCTGGTTGGAGCTCTTTTGATTCCTTTAACATTAATATGGACGATTGAATCATGCTGGATTTTTAATCACGGGGTCTGTACAGGTTATATGTTAACCTCTTATTTTCTTACAAGCACATCTATATATAACGTTGCTCTAATCGCAGTCGATCGGTATTTTGCTCTCTCTACTCCGTTTCTCTACACTAAAGCAGTCTCTGTGAGCACAATGTGCATTGTGGTTTTATGTGACTGGTTTGTATTGCTTTTATACAATGTAGCACTGCAGTACTTCAATGGAAACTTGAGAAATGTACTAACCTGTCCTGGAGACTGCTTTCTATTGTTAGATGAGGTCTGGTCTCTGGTTGACCTATTAGTTACATTTATTTTCCCATGTGCTGTTATTATCATACTGTATACTCTAGTTTTTATTATTGCCAAAAAACACGCCACGGCTATCAGAGAGCTTAACGCTCAAACTGCGACTCAAACATCAAAAAACATGACAGACTCTATGAAATCTGAAAGAAAAGCAGCTAAAGTGCTCGGCATTTTAGTGTCTGTGTTTTTGGCTTGTTTATTTCCATACTTTATTTACAGTTTATTAGGCAATGTAATTGAAATTGAAGCAGAATCATTTCAGAAAGTGCTGATCCTTGTTTATTTAAATTCTACCATAAATCCAGTTATTTATGCCTTGTTTTATCCGTGGTTTAGGAAGTGTGTTAAACTAGTCTTAACACTTCAAATACTTAAAACACGTTCTGAATTGGTAAAAGTTCTTTGATGAATGAAACGGGTATTAGTTCTGAGTTTTGAACAACAGTTTTCAGGTATTTATCAGACTTTTGAGATTATTTAATTTGTTTAGAATGTTGTTTAAATGTACAGTAATTATATATAACAATATAAAATTAGATTTTTTTCAACCTATCAGCTGGGAGCCTTTATAGAAACGTACAAATTTATCTATGCTCATTGATATATTTAGATGACTCGAATCTTGAGTAATTCTGCTGTTTTCATGGCATGCCAGAGTAAAGACAGAATCCAGCTTTAAAGATGATGTTCACTGTGGGTTTACCTTAGTTATACTCAAGAAAGTGGTGTCTGAGTGTCTACGTAAACAATGTTGTCTGCTGCTTGGAAAAAGATCTGTTTTCTTTCTTATGCATACAGATCCTTCCTGAAATGTTGGTGTCAGTGTTAACTAAAAAAACAATTGAGGAACATGTAGCACGCCCTGTGCTACCCTGGGCGCATGAACACTGGAGGCAGGGTTCAAATTCACAGCAGCCATTTAACTTTATCTTCTTACCAAACAAACACAAAACAACCAAACCAACACTAAGCTGGATACTTTTCAGTGGCTTCAAACTAGACTTTTCAGTCCTGTTCTCCAAACTAAGCTTTTCAGCTCTTCAAACTCTTCTGCTGCTGCTTGTACCTCTCTCTTCTCTTTCTGCTCTTTTTAAAGGCAGCTGAGCCAAGAAGGTAAGAGAGCTTGTTGGTCCGTCTTCCAGTCATCGACCCCGCTCTGCAGCTCAGCTGCCCAGGACAAACGTAAGGCAAATTAAAGTGACCTCACTGCAGGACGGGAGGCGGTGGCTTGGAGACAGGGCCCAGGATTCACGTGCTGTCCCCCACCCACTCGCGGTTCTCCTCTCCCCGCTGTCCTCACTGGGATTCGTCCTTACTTGGAGTTTGGGCCCCGTCTTCATTCCCGCTCTCGCGGCCGTCATCAGGGCACGGGAGACAGGCTCTTGCTGTAGAATAATATCTTGGCAACGAATATACACAGAGGTGCCACTGTCTAGGTACATATACCTTGTGCCTGTACTTGGATAAAGTCTAGTCTCTGACTGATCTTCTACTGAAGTAGAATCCTGATCCTTGTTTATTTAAATTCTGCTATCAATCAAAACATGCCACTGCTATCAGAGAACTTAATGTTCAAACTAGACTCAAATATGAAAGAACATAGCAGACCATAAAATCTGAGAGTAGAATCACTTCAAGAAGTGCTGATGCTTGTTCATTTAAACTCTACAGTAAATCCAGTTAATGTTTTCGTTAAAAACTGCTGTTGCATTGGGAGAAATTCTAAAAGATGCACGGAGAAAATTAATGAATCGTCACGATGTGAGAAAATGGGGTGACAGACAGCTATTCATGAAATCTGATCAACAGACACGATGGGGACCAAGAAGGCCAAAGAGTAGAAATGGGAAAACTTGCACCTTTGCAGAACAATAAAAAATGAGTCATAAATGATTAGTTATTTAAAAATATACAAGTTGGAATTCTTTCTAAAGTATTAGTTTCACTGGTGTTCCACAGATACACAAGATAACACTGCCTTGAGATTCTGGTCCATGTTGACATGACTGCATCATGCAATTCCTGCCAATTTTAATGCTGCAAATCTTCTACCACATCCCAAAAGTGTTCTATTGGACTCTAATTGGATCCGGTGGCAGGGAAGACCATGCAAGATCACTTAACTCAATGTCATGTGCATGAAACAAGTTTCAGACAATTTCTGCTTTGTGACATGGTGCATTATCATGCCAAAGTTGCCATTAGAAAATGGTAAATAGTGGCCATGAAGGGATGCACACGGCTCTCAACAATACTCATATAGGCAAGTGATAATTGATTGGTATAATCAAGCCCAAAGTATGCCAAGAAAACATTTACCACACCATTACACCACCTCCACCAGCCTGGACTGTTCACACGGCAGGTTGGGTCTGTAAGGATTCGTCAAAAACCAGACGCTCGCGGATTAAAAGGAAAAAAGGCGTTTTAATAGGGCTAGGCAGATGCAGGGTCAGAAGGCAGGCGTTGGTCAAATCCAAAAGACAAACCATAAACAAGGCGGTGATCATATCAGCGAGCAGACAAAGTCCAAAAAAGGGGCAAGGCAAAAACGAAATCAACAAACAGGCGAAGGTCCAAAAACACTGATCAGCAAGGCAGGCAACAGTACAAAAGGGCAAAAGGCAAAGTCAAAGAACGAAATAATGGTCAAAAAACGTACAGCAAATAACACTTGGGATAAACACTCAGTATGTTCGTGGAGAAGCAATACCTCGCAAAGAACTAAACTAAAGCCCGGGCTTAAAAGCTAATCTGACTAAGTCATGTGATTCAAAACACAGGTGCAAACATTTAGTACTCAGGTGAGTGCAACCTCTGATAGGAGCGCGTGATCTCCTTAGAGGTCATGTGATTCCCCACAGTATTGTGGATAATGCAGTCTGTTGAGTTTTCCGAGTCGGAGTTGAGTCGTCACGTGAACCTCCTGAGGGTTCTGGGAACTGAAGTCCAAGTTATCTTGTGACACGAGTCGATGTGTGACAGGGTCCATAAAGTCATGCTATTGGAAAAAAATGCGAAATTCATCAGACCAGGCTATGCTTGTCTGCTCACCACAATTGTACAGAGTGGTAACCTTAGTTACTGTGGCCTTTCTGTCAGCTCAAAGCAGTCTCGCCATTCTCCGCTGACCTCTCTCATCAACAAGGCGTTTCTGTATGTAGAACTGACACTCATGTTTCCTTTATTGCTCCATTCTAAGTAAACATTTTTGTCCACATTCTGATGGTTCATGTGAACATTATCTGCTGGCCCATATCAATAAGTATGTGTGTGTATATATATATATATATATATATATATATATATATATATATATATATATATATATATATATATGTGTCACACACACCGATCAGGCATAACATTATGACCACCTCCTTGTTTCTACGCTCATTGCCAATTTTATCAGCTCCACTTACTATATAGGTGCACTTTGTAGTTCTACAGTTACAGACTGTAGTCCATCTGTTTCTCTGCATACTTTGTTAGCCCCCTTTTATCCTGTTCTTCAGTGGTCAGGACACCCGTAGACCCTCACAGAGCAGGTACTATTTGGGTGGTGGCCTTGCTTATTTCAGCAAGACGAGGTTAAACCACATTCTGTATGTGTCACCACTGAAAACATCGGGCACATTATGAAATGAAAAATACAACAAAAGAAATCCAGAACCGTTGAAGAGCTAAAATTGTATATCAAGCAAGAACAAGAAAGTATTTAACTACAATACAAAACTACAGCAGTCAGTTTCCTCAGTTCCCAAATGATTAGTGTCGTTAAATAAGTAAAAAGTTTGGGCACCCCAAAAGATCTGAGCTCTCGGATAACTTTTACCAAGGTTTTGACCTTAATCAGCTTGTTAGGGCTATGGCTTGTTCATAATCATTGTTAGGAAAGGCCGGGTGATGTTCATTTCTAGTGATGGGCCGATCCACATTTTTTTCAGTTCCGATCCAATTCCGATATACAACTGCCGATAACCATACAGATTCTGACACAGAAGCTCTTTTTACTTTAATATTATCTTTATTATTGTTGGTATTGTGTTTCCGTTTGAGTTTGAGGTGTTATATCTTCCAGTACTAAGCATATCTGTAATGGAGGCTGCAGCTAAACTGCTGGTGTGTGACCCCCTGCCTTTTTTTACCTGACGCACCGCTCTCTGTAGTCCTTATGTTTCCGGGTTCACCCAGTGTGCAGTGAGACTTATGAGAGACACTGGGCTCACATCTGAGGACCAACCATCAGTTGTGAAGCTTGCGGCTTTAACATCTAGCTAACTGCGCCGCTAACTGTGTGTGACACTCGGTTGTGCAGTTCAGGTATAGCGGTCTCTCAAATGTATTTTCTGGATGGCAGATTATGAGAGTCGTTGCCTGGCAGTTTCTTCCTGTCTGTTAACTAACATGAACTCCTGGTACTCTTTCACATGAAACCTTTGCAGGTGATTAAATTGGTTGTAGTGTACGACTCAGACGTTCTTCTGCCCCTCAGCACGCTGACTTTACTCACATTACAAGTAGCTGTCTTGCTTTTTGGCGTTTTCAGACTAAAATATCTCCAAACAAACGGCATTTTACTCAAACCAACAGCTATTATTATTTGCTCACTGAGCCAATACTCAAGGATCAGACATTGATATCAGAAGAGAAATTTAAAAATGAGCACAGGTGAATTTGAGTGCTCTGTGAGCACTGTGACAGAATGACATCATGAAGATGAAGTTATTATTTAAATGAGTGGGTGTGAGCAGCTTTTAAACCACATAAATATCAGAGCTCCTATCTGCTCATCCTATATACGTTTCGTTTGGGCATGTTACCAACAGCATTTACACTGCAGTCCTTCGGAATATATTTTATATGCTTTCTTTGATATGCTGGATTTATGAATCTTATGGAAGATAACCAAACCAATCACTGTCTGCAGTTCTCCTGTCCAGAGAGATCTGTATCTACTGCAGTGTATGTGTTGTTGTATGTGTCTGCAGCTGCTGTAGCTCTACTAACAGTGTGTGGAAATCTGCTGATCATCATCTCTGTTTGTCACTTCAAGCAGCTCCACACACCAACTAACATGCTCATCCTCTCTCTGGCTGTGTCAGACTTTCTGGTTGGAGCTCTTGTGATCCCTATAACGTTAATATGGACGATTGAATCATGCTGGATTTTTAATCGAGGTTTCTGTGTAGGTTTTACATTAACGTCTTATTTTCTTACAAGCTCATCTATATATAACGTTGCTCTGATCGCAGTTGATCGCTATTTTGCTCTCTCTACTCCGTTTCTCTACACTAAAGCAGTCTCTGTGAGCACAACGTGCATTGTGGTTTTATGTGACTGGTTTGTATTGCTTTTATACAATGTAGCACTGCAGTACTTCAATGGAAATTTTAGAAATCTGGTAACGTGTCCTGGAGACTGCTTTCTATTATTAGATGAGGTCTGGTCTCTGGTTGATCTTTTGGTTGCATTTATTTTCCCATGTGCTGTTATTATCATACTGTATACTCTAGTTTTTATTATTGCCAAAAAACACGCCACGGCTATCAGAGAGTTCAATGCTCAAATTAGGACTCAGACCTCAAAGAACATGACAGACTCTATGAAATCTGAGAGAAAAGCAGCTAAAGTGCTCGGCATTTTAGTGTCTGTGTTTTTGGCTTGTTTATTTCCATATTTTATTTACAGTTTATTAGGCAATGTAACTGAAATTGAAGCAGAATCATTTCAGAAAGTGCTGATCCTTGTTTATTTAAATTCTACCATCAATCCAGTTATTTATGCTTTGTTTTATCCGTGGTTTAGGAAGTGTGTTAAACTCACTTTAACTCTTCAAATATTTAGAACAGATTCTGAATTGATGAAAGTTCTTTGATGAATGAAACATGTATTAGTCCCCCAGAGTTTCGGACAAGAATTGTTTTTTCAGCAGGTAAAAGTAACCTCTGAGCTGGAATTTGTGTAGAATGTTGTTAAAGGTACAGTATTTATATATAATAGCAAAATAATAAGTTCAGCTAGTGGCTTTTATAGAAACATGTAAAATTTGGCTACGTTCACTGGTACATTTAGCTGACTCAAACCTTTAGTGAGTCTGCTGTTTTTGAGTCATGCCAGTTGTGAAGACAGAATCCGGCTCTGGAGATGATGCACACAAAGGGTTTACCTCAGTTATACTCAAAACAGTGGTGTCTGTTTGAATGTCTTAACGTAAATTTTGTTTGCTGCAGTTTTTGTTCCTTATTTATGTATACAGAGCATTCTTGTAAATACTGGTGTCAGTGTTAAATAAAAGAGTTTCTACTGTCTAGGTACGTACTATATATGTGCACTTCGTACATTTACAATTACAGAGATCTGTTGCTTCACAGTTTGTCAACAACTGTCTACACCTTTTATTTATGGAAAGAGACCACCATAGGACCACCACTGACCACATTTTATGGTACTGGAATGGTAGGGTGGGTGCAGGCTCAGCATTTTGAAACACCTCAGCATCATTGCTAGGTTGACAATAGTCCACCAACCAAAAATATCCAGTCAACAGCGGTCTGGGGGTCAGAAACTGACTACTGATGAAAGGCTAGAAGATGACACAAACTGTGCACAGAAAAAGAGCTACAGTGTCTAACTGTACACCTAACTGTAGCAACAGACAGGATACAATCAGTAACTGTGCTATATTACAAGTGTACCTGATAAAATGAACAGCTAAGACATAAAGCTCTGTCTCTGATTAAACCCACTGAGTCTAATTGATCATGGTGTATTTTAGCCAACAGTATCAACTTGAGTTAGCCAGAGTTAGCTTGTGAACTACAGTTATCTCATATACACAATTCACAAAGTGATTAATCAAAAATCATCGCATTTCAATATTCACCTGCTATATTTCTTTTCTTATCATAAAGGCTTTCGAAAAAGAGCAGATGTATCTTTGCATTCAGCAACGTTTGTTTTGTCTTTTGTCTTTTATTCCACTCTCTGGAGTGGAGTAAAAAGGCTTCAGGAAACGTCTAAACAAAGACAAGAATTTTGTCTCTAAACTCTCAGGAATGAACTACAATTGAATCAATGAAATCACAACAACGATGGCTCATCTTTTAGCCACACTTATTGCTAACAGCTGTATAAAATCAAACACTCAACCATGCAATCTGCATAGGCAACCCTCGGCAGTAGAATGCATCATACTGACGAGCTCAGTGAGTGTCACAGGATGCTTGTCAGCCTGGGTGTCTATTGGCTGAAGCAGCAGAATTGACAGTTAGCATTTTCCTTCAAGCATGTTCAGCTGTCCAATATTGTTGTGTGAGCATCAATTCGAAAAGATGTGGTAGCTGGCTTCATATGACTCAGAGAAAGCACATCCTAGCCTTCACCCTCAGGACCGTGTGATATGGCGACATCTAGCAAGTGGGTGGAATTGTACATGATTACACTGGGGAGACAATTTGTGAAAATGCCCCAAAAAATTTAATCTTTCAACATGAGTTCTCTTAAATGGATTTAAAATTAGTGCACCAACTGTATTAGCAGGCTGTGTTATGTTAGTCATTATTTTGTAAAACTGACACCTAAAGTTTTGGATTAGAGAACATGTGGCCTAAGAGCAAGGCAATAAATCTGATGGAGAGTTGAGAATCCACAGAGCACTGTGGCACCCACAGACCACAGAAACAGCTTCGAGCAGTTTTATAAACTGGCATGTATTTTTTCGACCTTCTGGCCAATTTCACATACATACCATCCCTTTGTGGTCTGGACCGACCGCAAGAACCTGGCCTATATCCAACAGGCAAAATGGCTCAACCCTCGCCAAGCCCAACAGGCGCTGTTTTTTAGCCGCTTTGATTTCCTGTTGCCTTATAGACCAGGCTCTAAGAACACCAAACCTGATGCCCTGTCCAGACAGTGGGCACCTCCGGGGCCTGAGCCCTCCCAAGAAACCCATTATTCCCACTCCTCGGATCTTGGCCCCACTCCGTTGGGAGCTGGAGACTGCCATCAGGGAAGCCCTACGGCAGGAGCCCGATCCTGGAGGCGGTCCCCCCCCGATAAGCTGTACATGCGTGCTCCTGTGGCAAAGGGTGCTGCTATTATGGGGGCACACCTCCCCATTTTCAGGTCACCCAGCGGTGGCTAGGACCCTGGACTTTTTGCGCAGGCGATTTTGGTGGCCTAACATGGAGAGAGACAACACGGACAACACAGAGAGGGCAACACGGTCATCCTGGTACTCTTGGACTGCTTCTCCAAGGCATGCAAGTTTGTGGCACTGCCCAAGCTTCCATCTGCCAACGAGACAGCGAAGCTCCTGTTACAGCACGTGGTCAGGGTTCACGGGATGGCGTTTTTGGAAGGCCTTCTGTCGGCTCATGGGAGCCTCTGTGAGCCTCTCCTCCGGCTTTCACCCAGAGTCCAATGGCCAAACCGAAAGGGTCAATCAAGACCTTGCCTGGACTCTGCGGTGCTTGACCTCCGCCAACCCCTCCTCTTGGGCGGAGTATCTACCCTGGGCGGAATATACCCATAACACTCTCCGGCATTCGTCCCTGGGCATGTCAGCCTTTGAATGATAGTTTGGGGTTTCTCTGGCCATGTTCACCGAAGGGGAGCGCTAGGTTTGGGTTCCTGCAACAGAGCAGTTTGTGCAGCGTTGCCGGAGGGCATGGTGGAAGGCCCGTGCTTCCCTCCTGGCCACCACCGAGGCCAGAAAGCAGGTGGCTGACCGCAAGAGGTGCCCGGCACCCACCTTCTGGCCAGGCCAGCAGGTCTGGCTCTTGGCCAAGGATCTTCCGCTCCATGTGAAGTCTAAAAAGCTGGCACCTAGATATGTGGGGCCCTTTAAGGTCGACCAGCATATCAACCCGGTCACCTACCGGCTACGCCTTCCGCCCTCCATGCGGATCCACCCTGCATTTCACAGGTCTCGCCTTGGGCCGTTCCTTTGTGGGACCCCCAGCACTGCGTCTTGTTGCCGGCTCCCCGGCTTATGCGGTCCGGCGCCTCCTGGACTCCCACTGTGTGCGGGGTTGCATCCAGTACTTGGTAGACTGGGAGGGGTACGGGCCTGAAGAGCGGTCTCAGGTTCCAGCACGCCATATCCTGGACCCGGAACTCATTAGGGAGTTCCCACGGGCACGCGCTGCTGGCCTGGGTACTTCTGGGGCCATCCCTAGGAGGGGGGGTCCTGTAAGGGTTCAGCCGGCCCCGTCTGCTGCCAGCAGAGGGCGACAGCGGCATGGGGCCATAACTTCAGGGAACTCCAATTCCCAGCAGCCCTCAGGCTGATTAGCCCAACTCCACACACCTGCGGACTCTTTTACTTAAGGCCGTGGCAAACAGGGGCATTTGTCACACTTTTGTAGAGGGGTGACCGGTACGGTACTTAGTGTCATTCAAGAAAAGAAAGGAAAAGAAAAGAGGGCTGAGAAAAGAAATTGCCCCAAAACTATAGAAAAAAGAAAAGGAGGGCAAAAAAAAAAGAATAAACTGTCCCAAAACTACTTAAAAACCAAAAGGAGGCTTGAGCTACAAGAAACAGAAGAGGTGTTTGCTCCACCAAAAGCAAACAACTGAAACAAAGTCTGCTTTCCCTTCGTTCTTAGAGTGGAAATGTTTTTTGTTTTCCCATTATCTTTCATTTCACCTTTCTAGTTCAACCTTTCTTTGAGCACGCTGCTTTTAGCGTTTCTTTTGTTTGCTGTTTGCCGTTGTCCAGCCTCTTCTTTTCCCCTTCCTTGAGGTGTTTTACCTGTAGTTACCTGTGCTCCCCAGTGGTGCAGTGGAAACCCCACAGACCGCCTATCAGTACATTGGCGGTTTGAGCCTGGCTCTAGGTCACCTCAACCGCAATGTTTCAAACTCACAGTCCAGTGCCCCAATATACTCATTTATCACTCTTTCTCTCTGGTTTTCATTTCTGCACTTGGGTCCGCCTCCCCGCCATCCCGTAACACCATGGGGTCCCACCAAATACATACAGAAATAATGGTATAGTGTTCGCTTGTCTCTGCTATACTTGACTCAGCTACATATCATGATGTGAATCATGTGAGCTGAAACAGGAAAAAATTGAACCGTATACAATTAAGGAAAGTATGCACTAGCTTGCCAGACAGTTTTCTTGCTCTCCAAATAGTTGTTTCAATTACATCATATGTATTAAGTGGGTGTGGGCAGGTTCTGTTCACTATAAAAAGCAGAGATTTAATCTGCTCAGTCACAGGTTCATTCACCATGAACCTGGAGTGTTACTAGAGATATAACTGCAAATCACTAGAAGCCAAGTTCTGAGTCACTGCCTTACAACAACTGCTGTATCCATGAATCTTATGGAGCTTAACCAAACTGATCGCTGCTTACAGTTTTCCTGTCCAGAGAGATCTGTATCTCCTGTTTATGTGGTAGTGTGTGTGTGTCTGGAGCAGGTGTTGTTCTACTAACAGTGTGTGGAAACCTGCTTGTGATCATCTCTGTTTGTCACTTCAAGCAGCTCCACACACCGACTAACATGCTCATCCTCTCTCTGGCCGTGTCTGATTTTCTGGTTGGAGTTTTTGTGATGCCGTTCCATTTAAGTCATTTGACTGAATCATGTTGGATTTTTGGAACAGCTATCTGTATGTTTTCTGTTTTAATCTCCTTTTTTGTCACAAGCATATCAATATATAATGTTGCCCTTATTGCTGTTGATCGATATTTTGCCATTTCTAACCCCTTTCTCTACACTGAAAAGGTAACTGTAACCACAGCTTGTGTTGTGATCTTATCTAACTGGTTTATATTAATGTCTTATAACTCTGCACTTCTTTACTTCAACAGAAACTCCACAGGTCTGATAGCGTGTCCTGAAGAGTGTGTTTTTGTGTT